TACTAAGAATCACTCAGTACAATCAAGTACTAAAAGTACTCCAATCCAACTTATCAAATATTCTTGATCCAATAGATAATCAGACGAGTAACTGGATCCTTATACAAAAAGGGCTCGAAATCGGACTTAAAGTCCCTGGTATTTGGAAAAACAATTCAGGACATAACGATATCTCAGGTCAGAAATTACCCCTGGTGGGTCTAGAATATTACCCCTGGTGGTGCTTTATAACACAACAAGCTAGCACTCAGCTATACTTCACCAGAGTCTCAGATGCAAGATTTTGTCCATGGCGGTGCTTTATAACACAACAGGTTAGCACAACGGCTATACCTCGCCAAAGAACCTCAGTTCAAAATTTCATCCTTGGTGGTGCTTTATAACACAACAAGCCAGCACAACGGCTAAACTTCACCAAAGGATCTTAGCTCAAGAGATTGGCCCTGGTGGTGCTTTATAACACAACAAGCTAGCACAACGGCTAAACTTCACCAGAGAGCCTCAAGTCAAAGTTTCATCTCTGATGGTGCTTTATAACACAACAGGTATGCCTCGCCAAAAGAATGACGGTGCTTTAAAACACAACAGGCAATACCTCATCAGAGAGGTTCAGTTCAAGAATTTCATCCCTGATGGTGCTTTATAACACAACAGGCATGCCTCGCCAAAAGAATGGCGGTGCTTTAAAACACAACAGGCAATGCCTCACCAGAGAGGTTCTGTTCAATCGCTACAGAAGAGTAGTAGCCGGTCTATAACCAAACAAGTACGAAAATGTTCAGAAACAGAGTCAAAAGCAGGGTTCAAGTATATCGGTTCAAAAGCAGGGTCAATTATTTCAGGTTCAAGGAACACGGGTACGAGTAGAAACTCACTCGCCTAGCTTATGCCCAGTAATTCACACTCTCAAGCAGTCATCAAACTCAAATCCACATACAGATCATATATAAATCAAGATACTTGCTCAAGAGTAAAAGAGATACCCTATTTCAGTTAAGTCAGGTCTATCCAGTGTATGTAAGGGTACACTAGCCGATTCAAATTCAAGTCTACTTACAGGTCGTATACAAACCAAACTACTTGCTCATGCGTAAATGAAATACCATATATTCAGTCAAATCACGACCACTAAGTGTACGTAAAAGCACACTTGCCTAAACAATGTTCAAGTCTCAAGTGAACTCAGCCTAGTCAGTTTCCGACAGTTCAAAGTCAGTCTCAGGCAGTTCAAGTAGTTCAAATCCCAACACTTACAAATCGGGTGGTGCCATCCTTAATCAAACTAGAAGACTAGATGAAGGTTGAAAAATCAAAAATTTTCTCAACAATCCAGCCACCACCATAATGTATCAAAACCCAAGCCAACACTTATTGGACAAGTCCAAGTCATTATTTCAATTTCCTCATTCAGTTAAGTCTTGAGTACAAGACAAAATCTTCTGCGCTCTAACCTGTGCCTTTACAACTTATCTCAAACTCAATCATAATTTCTATTCACATCATCGTACGTTAAACCATATTCCGTCTAAAATTCACGAGCATTTCCTCAGGAAAAGTATCAGGTACACAAGTACAAGAATTCAAACTAAGAAACTTCACGACTCAGACCATATGGTTTTAAACGAAACTCATCAAGTCATATCTTACGTGTACCATTTTCAAGATTCACAACTGACGCTCCAAAAGAGCACTAAACGTATAAATCAATCCCACAGTCCGGCATCCTAAACTTTAAGTCTAGGATACACTACAAAGATCTGAAGCCTAAGCTCTGATACCATTTGTAACAGTTCTCAGGGTCACATTACAGGGTACCTATCAGCTTGCCACCCGCACGCGGGCATCCCCTACGGAGAGTTTCGCTTCGTGACTCTTCACGAACGAGAGGCTCGGGGCTTTTCCAGACGAAGGACTAGGGGTCCCAACTGTCGGCATATGGCTCTGATACCATTTGTAACGACCCCACCTCCCCCTAAGGCGTACCAGAGGGTTTAGCGGGCCGCCTGCCCAGCTCTCGCCGGGACTCACTCACTTACTACATTCCTCAAGTAAATTACAAGGTACAACTCAAATAATACATCCAATTCTCCAAAATTACATATCTTAAGCGAAGCGGAAACCAATTCTAAGCGTAAAATATAGATTTACATCTGATTCAATTTCAAATATTTATACAAGCCCAAAAATACATAAACCAAAAACCAAAACTAAACTATACAAGATGTACGCCATCCAGCCACACAAAGATCCAAAAACAAGTTCTTCCTTTACTTCGATCCCTGTGGGGAGAAAAAGATAATAGGGGGTGAGCTAGAAACTCAGCGAGTGACCAGTAAAATCAACAGCCAAGTATATTTCACAATAAAGCATTGATATGATGTCATGATGCAGTAATCAAATGTTCATTTATTGCTCATGTGAGCCAGTGAAGTTCTTGTACTTAAATATCCAATGCTCGTTTAGATCAGATAACCATGAAATAGAAGTAAGGAGCCATCGGCTCCAAAGAATGTGTAAACAATAGTGGAGACATTGGTTCTAAGCACAAGACTTTCCAGGAACTCATTGGAGCCAAATTATGTCATGGCACACACACAAACACAATGATATGCAATTGTGCAATCAATGCAAGAATCGTTTCAAAAGTAATCTTTGAGAAGTAGTGGAGAGATCACTCACTCAAACTATAGTGCTTCAAGTAGTCACGTTCAATTATACTCCAGGTTTGAAGTCCAGAGCTGCGATAGAAATCCAATTTGAGAACTTTGAAACACGAGTAAGATTTGAAACTTAAACGTTCCGTTCATAAGAATCAACCAATTGAAATTCATTTGAAAGGCATTCGTGAAACACTTGCTCGCTTTTCAAATCATAAGGTTTTTGTAGCATTTATACTTGGAAACAATACTTGAGTTAAAAGTACAAGGAAATATAAGTTTACATTGGCCATTATATCTTTTCCTCAAGAGTACAAGTTCGTTTAGGTTTTTAACGTATAACCATCGATTAACAAAGTAGCAAAAGTTCTCGCTAGTTCAAGTGGTAATCACTTAACCTTCACTCAAGTTGCAAATATAGTTTTCTAGTTCTCGAGTAAAAATTCGGGCAGCATGCCCTTTGTGTTTACCTAATTTTCCAGCCTTTTAGGCTTCATTGTTTTTCTCAAACACAACCCAACATTATACATCTCAGAAATTCATGTCAAGAGCCGTTCCATAGGCTCACAATATCATAATAACAAGAATCGTATGAAGTACAAGTGCAAAAATTCAATTTACTTCAAGACAGATTTGACGTACAAATGCGGAACTAACTTATCCGAGGCTACGCTTATCGGATGAAAACGAAACCTATGCCGTTTTGAAGCTAAGACACAGAGCGACAACATTCATGAAGGTCACTTAGTCCAGTTCCTACTGTAACTTAGTCAAATTCTCGAATTACTACACCAGAAACCAATTCGTCGGCTGTTTAAATGCAGAACACTGTAATGAACATAACTCAGTGTACACAAGTCCGAATCAGGTGTTCTTAGATGCATTTTAAAGCCACTTCAGAACACTACAACTTTCATGTTTTGGCCCAGAGCTAAATCAGAATGGATCCTGGTCAAAAAACGTGATAAACTGGACTGAACTGAAGAAACGGACTGCTGGGAATTACTTAGAATAGTAGGGGTATTTTGGACTTTTCACGTCCTACGTTGCTCCGATTGAGCTGAAATTTTGTATGAACCTATAAAATTCCATTCTCTACAACTTTTATTCTTTGAGCTAAGGCCAAAACAGCCTCTAACATATAGATAAAAATTCGGACAGAATGTAAGCTAAAATTTCCAGAAATCTGAAATTTGTAGTTTCTAGTGCAACTTTCCCCAATTTCTCACTTCTCACACTACCAAAACATCTTATACAACATTAATTGTAACATACAAGCATCATACAACAAGTTGGGCAGAATTTCCCAAACCCTAGTTCATCACATAAAGAGGGAAAAACTTCCAATCATGCTAGCATCCATGATTCCACTACTACTCAAGTTACTAGACTTAATTTCACCAAGATTGAAAGAAAAATTTAGAGAGATATCATCCTCCTTACCTTGATTTGAGTTCTCCAAGTGTAGTCCAAGCTTTCTCTCTCCAAAATTTCACCACCAATCACTAGCTAATCACCCAAGGAGAAGTTTAATCGGTTTAGTTCTTTGGATTTCTCACTTTGTAGCTTGAATCAAGAAGAAATGAAGAAATTTCTCCCTTGTTCTTCTTCTCTCTCTCTCTCGGCTCCCTTGGCAGAAAATGAAGAGAAATGGAGCTAAGTTTGTCTTATGATAAAGCCAAAAGGATTAGAACTAATGGTGTCCACAAGTTGCCCAACACTTGGCCCAATCTTGGCCACTAATTTTTCTCTTTCTTTCCCTTGCTTTCTAGCCACTAATTTCGTCCCCTTAGCTGTAATATAAGAAGATATTTTGCTCAATTGTCAATGAGCTTGTAGGGTAAGAAAAATGGTGGTCAAGCAGTGCGTTCAATCGGTAATGCGCGGGACCCGCCGGATCGCGCCGTTTTTCTTAAAAACTCACGTACTAGGTTTTTCACTTCCCATTCACTAACCTTATATCATTGCCACTAGTCACATATTATTTCTCACTTAAAAGTCACTTTTAATCCCCAAATTAATTCTTACTCTGTACCAAAAATTCATCCGGCAAAAAATCGCGAAAACCCTAATTTTGCTCCAAACTTGAAACCGAAGTGTAAAACCCTATTTTCTAGGTTTATTTACACTTATGTGAAATAATTGGATAGTGGGCTTTGATAAATAATAATTTTCAAATAAAAGGGTATTTTAGTCCTTATCGGAAAGCCTTAAAGAGCTGGCTCTTTAAGCTGTTTATGCGGACCGAATTTCTTCCAGATTTATGTGGGCCGGATTCCTCACAAAACTCTATTCACCAGAAATTTTTCCTTTTCTTCTGCCTCGGGGCGTTACATTTTGGCCATGTTGAAGGGTGTTCAGGTGTGTCTTGAAAAGGGGCTTCTCCCCACAGTAGTGCAATCGGATTCAATGTTGTTAGTTGACATACTCCAGCGGCGATGCCTTTGTCCTTGGTCCGTTAGAAGGGAGGTGGAGCAAATCTGGCACCTGGTAGACGGGACTCGGTTTGAGCATTGCTACAGAGAGGCAAATAAGGTTGCTGATATACTTGCGAATGTGGGGGTTTCTCATCCGCAAGAGCTGGTCAGGGTTTACTGTACTGAGCGCACTCTTCCCTCGGTGGCCCGGGGAGAGTGCAGGATGAATAGACTTGGGGTGCCATCGGTTAGGCGTGTTAGGATAGGGCGTGCATAGGCTGTAGTAACGCGGGGTTTTTCCTGGTGTTCGTTGTCTTCGTGGTCTGGATTGAATAAAGTAATTATTTAAAAAAAAAAAAAAAAAAAGGTAAATCTATCATTAACTCGTGATTTTTCAGCCTGAAAACTCAAGTTGTTGCTTGGAGTATAGAAGACTGACATCCCACAGAATTCTCCCCATAAACCTATACTTACATGCATAATATCTCTTCCTAATGTAATAACCTACATTGCAGTCATGATCAGAAGTTGATAAAGAACAGTTACCGTTCATTTGCAGAGTTCTAGTTTTTCTTGAATGTGTATCAAGTCTAAGATACTGGACAAGGATCATCCAGCTCAGCAGCAAGCTATTAGGCCTTAATTAACATAACATTGTTATAGGATTAATGGGCAATTCAAATGTCTTGCATTAGCTGTCAAAGCAGTGTCATAGGATTAATAGACAATTCGAATGTCTTGGACAAGGATTAATAGACAATGCCAATTCTTAACAAACAATGTTAAGAATCAATTGCGCTTGAATGTGTAAGAAGACCCTAAAGAATTCTCCCCATAAAACGCTAATTAACTTAACAATTTTAGCTAGAATAAAACTACTCGTATAATAGCTTATAACAATGTCAAATCTACCTAATTCCATGCATACACTCGAATTGTCTATTAATCCTGATTACGCAAACTTTCATACAAAAAAGCTTTTCTGTGAATTTTCAATAAACAAACAGGAATTATTTCTCCACAGATTTTGGATTTTGAAATATTATGGATGTATTTGTACTGATTAAAGGCAATAACGACTAATCTTTTCCAATTCAGTAGATCAATATTTCATTTATTCATCAAAAGACATACAAATTACATAGGCGTAGAAAAGACTATAACGGTATCATGTTAATTAGCAACCAAACCCGAGTATCAACAAAAGTTGGGCTAAACCAAAGTAATTATCACAAACTAAAGATGACTTATCTAGCTAAAAATTTTATCAAATTTTAGGCAAACAAATCTAATCCATCTAGCTATAAGACCGTAGAAGAACATTTGAAATAATGATCAACCTTAATCCAAAATTCAAGCAGTACAATTTCTTGGAGCTAAACATCCAAACCTTCAGTAGTTAGCCTTCCAGTTATGCTTCTTTTTATATCTTCTCTTGAATCCCTTGACTAGTTTTTTATTCCTCTGAATCTCACTAGAGTAGAATGGAATGTACAATCTTTGCTTCAGAGCAAAATGCTTCTATCGGTTTTTGTTGCCATTCGGAGCTCCTAAACTAACAAAAAGTAATTCTGGACTCTGATTTAATGGATGCTTATTTGGGTTAAGCAGTTAAAATCAATCAACTCATTTGACCATGTTAATTATATGCTCGATACTTTTTAATGCTTCAACCAGGAAAGAGATACAACCACAGACTACACATATTAACTAAAGATACAACCACATCCACAGACTGCTTTAGTTTGTCCAGTAGTTTATCAACATTTTACATCAACATTTTAAAGTGAAACAACTTTAGAGCATCCAAAAGGAAAGTGTATATTCATCCATCCGGTCTGTAAAAGGAATACTCAATTTTGTAACTGACCACCTTATTCAGTACAGCAAGCCCAGGTTCTCCATCCGGTCTGTAAAAGGAATACTCAATTTTGTAACTGACCACCTTATTCAGTACAGCAAGCCGAGGTTCTCTTCATGATATTGAATGGGGACTTGAACATGATATTTAGGGATCTTTCAGTTTTTGCATGATGGATCTTCTCTTAAGGACCCTCCCAAAACTTTTTCAGAAATAATGGAAAATAATTTGCCAAAATACATCAACCTACACTAGACACGCTATCCTACAAAACATGGAATCAGACTACAGATTTCCCTTTGATCATCATACATGAAATTGGCTATTTCATTTTGCAAAACTAGATCAATTTGGTTCGTAATATGAATAGATTGTCAAATCCTTTTGATACTGAGGACAAAGCAAAACATCTTCAGTTGCGACAACAATAGCTCACGGTAAACCAGGGAAAAAATCTCCCCCCAGTGTGTGTGTCATCAAGATTTTTGTAAGTTGTTTAATACTGGAATTAATGCATACAAACAAGCATGTATTTAAGTGACTCTGGGGTGGACTGGGAAATTACATACTACAAGTAGTCATTTATGAGTTTATTTCAACTGAGAATTGAAGTCTGGCCAACTATCAAAAGAAAGAGACATAGGCAGACAAGTGACCTATAATACATAGCTTACTGCTAAAAATTGTTCAAAACATGTAATATGCAAATCAAGCCAACTACTATCCAAGAGAGTAGGCTACCAAGAGAGCAGTAGTTGGCTACTTAGGTGTAAGTCAAGAAATCAAATTTTTTGACTTGCATTCTAATATCCAAACTTGGCTGAAAATTTCGCCAACAGGTACGTAGGTACCCGTCTGAACTGACGTGATTCGTCAGGTTCCTCTTGACCTCCTTAGGTCCCCCTTCCCGTAGTATAGATTTAGGCTCCCCCTAGTATAAAGCAGAAGTAGGTATAGAATAGAATCTATCATGTCGACAAAAAATATATATAATATGCAAATCATATAAAGCAAATTATAAAAGGGTCCAAGAAAACTTATATACACAAGGTTTCTTTCAATAGCTTAAGCATTACCTTCTCCTTTGTTGCTTGACTGATGGAATCAAAGGCATTGAGCTATACAACACATGAGAAATATTAGACCATAAAATATTACAAGCAGAGAGAGAGCAGAAGTGAATGGGGAAATTTGAGAATAAGTAAAATATCAGGGGAATTATATCACTAAACATTAATTAGGATGTAATTTGAGTGTAAAATTCTTTGAGGAGGCAGTGTTCAATTAAAGTCATATTTAATGGGGGTAACTGCAATTACTAACTTAAGGGTACTTATATCCTTTTGATTTTTTTTTTTTTGTCAAAACCTTTTGACTATTAATTTAGGAAGCAAAATGTTTCAAAAGTAACTGTGGAAGCCAAGTGCAAGTTACTCCAAACGTTAAGGGGGATTTACTGCAATTAAACCATTTATGTTATAGAATGTGCCTGCAGGAATGACACAAACAGTTGCATTTGGCATGGTATAGTACATTTTACATAGTTTAATTATTGCATACTTACTCATATATTTTTGTATTAGAGATGTGATATATTTAACTACTGTTGAGAATAACTCATTAACCATATAGACTAAGGGCGGAGCCACGGGATCCACGTCGGACGTGGTCGTCCTCCGCGTGGCGACTGGGGATTCGTTCGTTTTTTCCCCCCGCACTGTTTTCTTCTTTTCTTTCTTTCTTCTTGCTCGATGGGAGGCTGGCTGAGGTCGTCGGTCACTTCTCTGCCACTTCCTCAGTCTCCTGTGTACCAACTCCACCAAGCCGAAGCTTTTCCTCCTTGTGCGGTCTTCTTTGCAGCTCACGTTTTACCCTCAACTTTTACCCTCAACTCAAGTTTCACCTTCTAAGACCCGTCTTTCGTTGGCCTTGTTTGCCTGCATCCGTTAGGTTGGCTCCGTCAGGTGCCTCTCTGCTCGCTGAGCCAGCTCGTCTCTAGCGGCTCCATCTTCCTTCTGTCCTTCTTTTCCTTTCTTCGTCGACCACAGATTCTGTTTTGTTTCGTTCAGCTGCAAAATTTAGCCCCCCGTAAAGGTCCAAAATTTATCTTCCCTGCCCCATATGTTAAAAAATCCCCTTTTAACCCCCGTCTTGGCTTCTCCTCTTTTTTATTTTTTCCCCGCTCCATCGCTCTGTCCGGCTGCGTCCCCCCAGCCTTTACTGTTCCGCTTTGCCCCCTTACACGCCTTCTCCTTCTGCTGTTTCCCCCTGGCTGCTGACGGATTAGGTTGCTGCAATGATGGCCGATGTAGCTGCTCCTCCTTACCTCTCCCCACGAATGGTCAATTGTTCTTCCGTTGGTGTTTCCCTACTGCTGCTCCTTCTCCCTGCTTCCCATTTCGCTCCGCCAGGTAACCCCTGCTCCTCTTTTTTCCACCTGCTTTTATCGCCTTCTCCGTTTCCCCTTCCTTTTCTTTTCCCCTCCATGTTTGTTGATTGCACATCCCACCAATTACAGCCTCTGTTTTGGACGAATCCCTCCCCCCCTCTTCCCACCCTCGCTTTCTGGTTCTTAATTTTACTGGATCAGTGTGCTTCCGTCTCCCCCCTGCCCCCAAATTAGCGCTTCCCCCTCCAAATTCTCCCTCAAATTACTGCCTGCGCCTGATCGTCAGCCTTCCGTACGCTGTATTTTCCCCGCTTTACATTGTTGTTGCTGTACAATCTGCTTCACCCAATCAAGATACCGAATAACAAACCGCCCGATTGCCCTTCCATGAGGCAGATTGTTCTCCCAAAAATTTTTTAAAATACAGCTTCGAAAACTATTTTAAATTATGTATACTTGTATACCGCTGTATTGCCACTATAGTAGCTGTCTATTATTGCGCTTATTAAAATAAAGTCATGCTTCGAATTTAGGATTAAGGCATTGGAATTGAGGCCTTTTAGTAGTGGATTTTTAAATTAATGGATCCTTTCACCAGGTCACTATAATTCCCTATTGAATGATGAGCAAAAGACATTATGTTGATCTCAGCATTCCTCATTCTAATCATTTTTTGGCAATTGTTTGGTGTATCATATGTTCGTTTTCTTCCTTTTGGATTACTTTGTTTTTCTTTGGTGGTTTTTCAGGGTTTCAGTTTCACATCAAAGAAAAAAAAATTTACAGTCTTCCTTTTGGTTTCTGCAGGCCCATTTCAACTGCTTCATCTAGCTTGTTCTTCTGCTTACGCCTGCCTGTTGCTCCAGGTAATTCCCTTTCTACTTGGTTTCGCATCACCCTGTTCTGGTTGTTTTATATATTCTTATTCTTGTTGTTATGGCTTGCTTCTCTGTTCGCTCCAACCTCTCCCCCCCTATCTCTCTTACTGCTATGCTTGCTCCGTTCCATTACATGCTATGTTTGCTTT